GCATGTGTCATTGGAAAGATCAGAATTTGTAGCCTACCCCAAATTGCCCTTGAGAATATGGTTGTAAGGTGTCTTCTGGAACTGCTGCAGTCCATATAAAATCATAGAAACCCTACAGTGTAAAAAGAGGCCATTTGACCCATTGAGTCTGCATCAACTCTCCAAAGAGCATCCCACCCAGATCCAGCTCCCTGACACTATTCCCCTAACTCTGCATTTACCATGGCTAATCCACCTAGCCTGCACATCCCTAGGTGCTACAGGTAATTTAGCATTACGGACAATTTTTCCACCTAGCCTGTGCATCTTTGGACTGTGGGATGAAACCAGAGCATCCAGCAGACACCCACACAGACACAGGGAGAATTTGCAAACTCCACACAGTCAACCAAGGCTGGAATTGAACCTAGGTCCCTAGAACACTGAGGCAGTAGTGATAACCACTGAGCCACTGTGCTGCCTGTGCAGACACTCTTGCAGAGCAGTTTGGAAGAGAGCTCTAGATTATTGACAGTGAAGGAATGACAAAATACCTCCAAGTCAGCATGTTGTATGGCTTCAATGAGTTCTTGCTGGTTGCGATGTTGCCATTAATTTGGAAGATGCTAACAAAACCACTTAACAGTTTGCTACAGTGTCTCTTATAGACACTTCAGTCACTATGCACCAGTGGTGGAGGGAATGAATGATTAAGGTGATAGGTGGGGTGCTGATCAAGTGGGCCGCTTTGTCCTGGCTATTTATGCCAAACTCCTCAAGTATAGTTGGAGCTGTACTTATCCCAGAAAATAATCTGCACTATTTCATATCTCAATCTATCAGTGCTAGGTTCAATAGCCAGGAACTTAATATGCTCGATAATGAATCTTTAACTCAGAAAATCTTTTAGGTTCAGGCTAGGGCTCCTCCAGAAAATAATAAGCCTACTTTTGTTCGATTTTGCAGTTTTAACAATTGGATTGGAAAATTCCTCCTAATGTGGTGAAAAGCTAGACATCTTTCTAAAATCTTTTCATTGACCTTTTCCCAAGTGTTATATATACATATCAGTTTTAACACATATCAGTGTCGTAACATGTAACTAATTCAACCAAGAATAAAGAAAACCACTTGCATTTAACTCTCTATGCTAGTTTGTGTCACCAAAAGAGTTCAAACAATTTGTTATTAATCAACTCTCATTTTCAGATCGAAGACTGCTTGAGTGAATTTCTTCAGATTCTCCAGTTTGTCAGCCCTGACATCAGTGAAAAAACTATGAAACTCTGGGAACTTAGTCTAAATGACAACCATTATGCAGCTGCACGTTTTGCCTATGATCAGTATTTCAAAACCATGTCATATGTAATGAGTTAACAAGGTGTAGAGCTGGATGAACACAGCAGGCCAAGCAGCATCAGAGGAGCAGGAAAGCTGACGTTTTGGGTCTAGACCCTTCTTCAGATTTTTTTCAGTTATCTCAGATTCTCCAGCATCTGCAGTTCCTACTATCATATGTAATTAGTATTCTCCGGGATACAACAGGCTAGGTAATCTGCAGAAATTTTTATTTTTCATGCAATAATTCTATATATTGTTAATTCATGTCTCTGATACAAAAAAATCCAAGTGCAACCAATGGCTTTGTTTTTCAACATACTGTCACATCTAAAATGCATTCTGCTTTAGATATAATGCAGAACATTAACTAACTGAAGCAAGCAAACGTCTGCCCTGTCACACACAATACTAAGGAACAAATCAATTCCACTCCATGAGTTGAATGTAGTTTACTCAGAGGCAAGCAATCAGAATGTTGTGAAATGTAAAAACAGGATAAAGAATAAAAATATATCTGTAGCAAAACAGCACAGTCTGACGGACAAAGATAATTCAGCCCAGTTAGAACAGAAATGTTGGCAGCTAAAACATCAGTCTTGCAAGGGAAACTATTTATGTATTGTAGTCTAAGACTAAAATATTATAAACAAGACTAAAGGAGTTGCTTCAAAGGTCAGCATTCCAAGGATGACCAAGAAGCATTATGATAAAGCAAAGATTGACAGATCAAGGAACTGGGCAGGTGTGTGGGAAATGTAGTTAAATATGATGTATCAGATTTTGGAGAAACTAATGGAACTAGAACTAAAACAATAAAATTATTGTAAAATGTAGCAGAAAGACAAAAAGCTCTTTAACAGGACTATGGTGGAAGAGATCATGAAAGAGAAATTGGCTTTCACAATTTTACATACAAGCATATTAAACATAAAAGCAAAATGGTGACAATGAATCATCAGATGGATTACAACTGGAGTACACTATTCAACCAAAAATATTAATGCCATAAAAAGTTTGAAATACGATTTAACTAGGATGATATCAGGCACAAATGATATAGTTATAGTTATAACAGAGCTAAAAACAATTACGACTGTATAAGTGTGAATTAATTCAAGAGAGGTTTAATGGAAGTGTTCAACTTCTTTTCGAGGTTGAGATAGTAAATAGGGAAAATGTACCTCTACAGCTTAATAAGAAGAATCATAAAATCAAAAACAGTATTAGAGGTGTAAAAGGCTTGGTCAGTAGGACATTTTTTCATGCAAAAGATTATTAAGTCCAACAAATTTTAAAAGTGGTTATTCATGATGAGCCATGAGGAAATTGCAAAATATTTGAAATGTAATAAAAAAGAAAAATTGGATTAAATATGCTCACTGCATGAGGGAGTTAACACTGACTAATGCACAATAAGCCACCTTCTTTGCTGAAATTTCTATAATTCAATGCCACTATATAGATTTCATGTAGTCAATTGTGGGGTAACACTGTAGTAAATACAGGTACTCAACTTTGCTAATTAAACATGGTTGATAATATTTGAGAATGGAATCTCACTATTTTAGGTACCAAGTTTTAACAAGAAGAATCATAAAATCAGGAACAGTATGAGAGGCATATATTCAACAGTTAACATATTTACTCAGACATGTCCTGGGTCAAGTGCACTTTGAAGTTTTGATCAATTGGCCTCAAATTGATCTGGGGTCTCCAAAATCACACAAGCATAAGTTTTGTCATTTTACATCAGACTTTTTTTATGCATTCTTGGATGTAGATGTCACTGGCTAGACTAGAGCATTTTTCGCCCACCTTTAATTGTCCTTGAAAATGTAGTGGGGAATGCTGCAGTCTTTTGGATGTAGGAAGACCCACAGTGTTACTAAAGGGAGTTCCAGGAATTTGACCCAGGGTCAGTGAAGAAACAATGATATACTTCTAAGTTAGTATAATGTATGACTAATAGGTGGCAGGGTTCGCATCGCATCTGCTGTCTTTGCCCGTCTAAGTGGTTGATGTCATGGGTTTGGAAGGTGCTGTTGAAGACGCCTTGTGAATTACTGCAGTGTATCTTGTAGATGGCACATATCATTGCTACAGTAAGTCAGTGGTAGAGAGGGAGGCTTTCAAAAGTGGAGGACAGGTGTCAATAAGTGCACTGCTTTGATGGATGTTGTCAAACCAATTGTTGCAGCATGCAGGCAAATGGGGAATATTCCATCACATTCCTGACTTGTGCTTTGTAGATGATGGTCAAACTTTGAAGAGTCAAGAGTGAGTTACTTGGTGCCAAATACCTAGAACCCTGATCTGCTCTTGTAATCACACTGTGCATATAACTGGTCAACTTCAGTTTCTGATCGATGGCAACCCCAAGAATGTTCCTTTGGGCGAGAGTTATGAATTTGTATCAACATACAATTTGTGGTACAAAATATTTTGAACTAACAGATGAAGAAAAAAGTATTTAAAACAAGATAAGCTACAAGATGCCCTCCATTAAACTTGAATTGTAAAATTTAATATGTGCATACAGACATTTCTCTCACAGGGTACTTAACAAGAAACCTTCCAATCTTTTACACATAAACTGAAAAGTCATGTACCAAAAGTTCTGTAATATTGGTAACATACAAAACAAGCTATGCACAGTCTGAACCTATATCCCTGTCTGATTAACAAAAGAAAACATATTACTTGCATTTAAAATAAATAATGAAATGTCTCACTTGGCAGTGAGCTGGGTGTGTGGCACAGAATCGGCCAACAAAGTAAGTAAAACCCTGTCAAATTGAAAAGGACAGATTTGACATTAGCAACAGAACTAATCAAAAATCTGTAAATGGTTCTCAAGCTGTTTGACTGACATCATGCGAGAACTGTTGGCTTGCCCTGCTGCTATGCATACTTCACTTGAAAAATATTCATTTTTTCTATGTTTTCACATTAACTTTATTCTTGGTTCAGTGTTGTAACTCTGTATCTGTCAATTAACTGTGTGTACATATTTACATATCAATGTCTGCAGGCCAGTTTAAATTATAATAAGATAGCAAATTGATGTGTATCTCCCACTTTACTCAGTTATCTATTCAAATCTGTTTGGATTAAGATATCTGCATGTATGTGAGATATATCTGTGTATGCAAGAGTCCAATGATTGCAATCCACTGACTGAAACTAAAAAATGTTTTCTTTTGCTGAGGCAATTGTAATCTTTGTATATATCTAACATTTTTGCGGATTTTGCAGATTTCCAGAACTTACAGTCCATTTCTCTAATACCTGTTATGCAAAAGGTCTATATAAAAATGTTCATTTGAACTGAATACATATTTTTACATTATAAGTAGTTAGCAGTGCAAGTAGCCCCTATATAACTAGCCGTCCAAATAAATTGGTATTGAAGTTTCTTACCAAATACAGGTATAGCTCAGTTTAGTATCAGATCTCTTTAAAAATGCACCTGACTCTGGGCCTGTTTGTCGCCTGTTTAGTAGATACAACGTGTAAAAATTAAATTGATACTCAAGCTGCAAATTAACTTATCTCTCTTCACATACTGTGATCCTTACTGTCTGCAAAATTCGAACTGCCTTATCTGGCTGACTTGCTGTCCTTTTTTTTCTAATAAATTCTCAGAGCTCATGTAAACGACCTGGCAGAGAAAATAGACGCAATTGCCGAGATTCTGGCAAGAGTTCTGCAATGTTGGCAGGACTGACCAGAAAAAAAAGCCGCAGCGGAGAAAAGTCAACTGGCTACTAGGACCGAGTTGGGTCCCTCACTAATTACGTATTGTCCACATCCGTCTCTTACAAGTGGCAATTAGGGTCAAGTGAATAAAAGCGCCTGGACTTAGAGTGAGTTAGTATTTTGTGGAGTGGCCGACAAGATGGCTACGACGCTCTTACAGGGATACCTGCTCATGATCCTCATCAAAACGTCTCTGCAAGGAGGTGAGCACGCATAGCGATTGCACTCTCTTAGTGATTCTGATTAAATAACACATCGCCGCTGGCGATGTGCTCTACATTTGCACTGAAATGTTAAGGAAGAATGTTCTTTACTTTGAAAGTTACGCGGGCGATCCTTATGCTTCAGGGAAAATTGGATGAGTTTTGAAGACCTCGCTGTGTTTTCTGCTGAGCGAACTCTCTCAAACACTGACCAAACACGTATTTTCACTACAGTTCAATCGCTTTCGTTTAGAAAAGATTTGCGCTAGAATTCCGATGGGAATTGCAAACTACGTGACTGCAACTTAGGAGTTACAGTCGCAAATGTATGTGACCTGCTTATTCCTTGTACATCTTTGCCCGTTACCGTTTCTTCGTGTAAATTTTTGTGCCTTTCCTTCCTTCCCCTCTTTTTATTACTATAACTTTTTACTTCATATTCCCTGTCTGCGGTTTGGTTGGGGATGTCTGCCTTCCGCCATCCAATCCCCCCGATCCATGGGTGGGTGCGCGCTCCTTCTTGCCGGGAGCTGTTCGGTATTCCAGGACTGTTAGGAATGAGATTTATGACCTAGGATTGGAGTCGGACTGAAAATCTCTTTAAATATTGAGATGATTGATGTTGCAGTAACTGCAGCAAACAGATTATTTAAAAAAAACTTTGCCTGAAACGAATAAGTTTTCAAATGTTTGTTTCACTACGTGTCTTTTTAGCATACTATTGAACAATAACTGAGTTGTGGTGTCGCACTGACTTCACAGTTCTAGCAGTTTTTTTATGCAATCAGTGTACAGACTCTGGCCAGATAGGCTGTCAATTTTATGTCAGAACAAGGAAATCTCTCAATCTCCGACCTGCGAAATGCAAGTCCAACCATGAACCAGATTAGCCCTCGACCCAACTTTGATTGTGCGGCGCACAATACTGCGCTTTCTGGCATTCCGAGTCTTTGAGGTCTCCACTGTAGGTTCCTGCCAATTAGCTTTCCATTTAATTCGCTGCTGCATAGGAGCTGGAATTGGCACCTGACTGAGAATCCTAAACATTCACCTGATATCTGCAAGCACTGACCCATCTGCTGTAATTTTCCCAAACTCTTGGAAGAATTGATGAAGCGTGCGATAAATCATAGAAATTAGGAACCAATAAAGCTTATTGTGTGAACTTTTTAACCTGTATGCATTCAGGAAAAACGTTATTCGTCTGTTTACTTTGAAGACAAATTAGGAAATGCTTGCAGCCCAGAAATATCTATTGATGGTCCAAGCTGTTGCTATGTTCCTTTTCTGCCCTTTTTTCTTTTAAAGAAATTGACTCTAATCTATTTAAGATAAATTTTGGAGACACTTTATATTTGTTAATGTCACTAGCAGTAAACTGCAGGCTTTGTTAAGCATGAAATAACTTTGCTCTAAATTACTCCGATTATACTCAAACCGAAATTCGACCTCCCCGGAAATGTTTACTGTTTGGCGTGGAAAACTGTTTTATTTTCTCTTTCCTTTCTGCAATAGCCTGCAGGTGATTTGAAAAACTTTATACTTTTATTTCAGATTTCCAGCTTTGGCGATTTGAGTTTTAATTTAGACCGAATTGTGTGTTTAAGTACAGTAAACTGGTATCCTCTCCATTATCAAAACCCTGACTTTCATCCTGACGTGGAAATATCCACTCCAGATTTTCAGTTGCAAAGAGCAATACCTCCACTTAAATACAGAAGTCAGTCTTGAAGATCTAAAAATCTTAAAACAGCATAGGTGTCTTTCATTGGAAATAAAGAATACTTTTTTAGAACTTTTTTCCTCAAATGCCCATCGCTCTCGTCTCATTACTTGATTTTATTTCAGGACAGGATCGGAACAAGGAAAGATGGCAAATTTTAACCATAATTTGAAATTTTCTAAAATTACAAAGGCTGACAGTAGGAATGGGTTCATACATCTTGTCGTTAGAAGAATTGTGCCTCTGTTGCCTATTTCTAGGACCAGTTTTCATTCGCCTTTTTAATAATCTGGATTTGATCCAAATTTCTGCGCAGCAGCTCAAAATGTAAACACCAACGTCGTGAAAAAAATGCAGTGAAGTGGCGTAAATAGTACAGTATCGTCCAGAATAAAAACAAACTGGTGATTGTTTAATACATGCGTCCACTTGACTTTTTTAATCCCAAACAATACCGAGAAACATCCACGATCATGGCTGACTTCAGTTGAAAATCAATTTTCCAACAATATTGAAAGTGTCAATCTTCGGTCCAATGTTACTAAAGCCACTGCAGTATCTCGGCCGACAGCCGAAATATAATACCTCACTGATTTTTTTTTAAATGAGCCTTTTAAACTTGTTCTGTAGATGCAATGGCAAGCAGTATTTAATCGCAATAAGCAAACTGAAAACCATGCTACGCAGTTAGATTACAGATTGAGCAATCTGAACCAAAGCACATAGTTGTTTGGCGTGTTTTGATTGATGCGCAAGGATCTTGAAGTATTGGAAAGCGGGAAACAGCACCGCTCTGTGGTAGTTCTAGGGAAATTTGGACGACCCGCCCCAAAAGACAGTTCAATTGAGATTGCATATGAGCCAATAGCTTTAACAAATGCTACGTTTAATATCCCCCAGCCGAAGTGTTACTTTGCTTTTTTGCGCTATTTCCGTAAACCTGTCTAATTTCACAGGAGAACACACGATTTATAGCTGAATACGCACAGCATTGTGTCTATGCCCAAATATCTTCAGAGTCTTCATTAATGACTTTCCTTCCATCTCAAACCCAAATGGAGTATTCAGCACCATTCACAACTCCTCAGATGCTGAAGTACTCTACATTATCATTGTATTATCATATGCAGAAACTGAACTTGATCAGCCAAATAAATGTGCAAGTGGTAGGGTCATAATTTGCTGTTGAGAAACTTGTCTCCATTTTCCTCAATACATGTTTACCACTCAAGGCACAAGTGAAGAATATGATGGACCTCTGTCTACCCCTCTGGATGAGTGCATCTCTAACAACACCATGCACTATACCATACAGGACAAAGCATGTTACTTGATTGGCTCAACATTTACTTGCTTCACTCAGGTGATAGTATATAGCATCTACAAGATGACTGTTCTTTTGACAACACTTTGCGAGCCATGACCTGTACCACCTAGAACGACAAAGGAAGCAGATATGAGAACACTGCCTCCTGCATGTCCCCTCCAAGCTACTCACACTTCTGACTTGGAAGTGTTCCTTCACTGTGGCTGAGTCAAAAGCCTGAACTCCCTCCAAATGTTGTTTTTCCTTTACTGTCACTGGGTCAAAGTTCTCGAATTCCCTCCCTAAAAGCATTGTGGATCAACCTACAGCACATGGACTGCAGCGGTTCAAGATGGCAGGCAACACCACCTTCTAAAGGACAATTGGGAATGGGCAATAAATACCAGCCTGCCAGTAACATCCAGGTCCCACAAGTGAATAAAAGAAAACAGTCAGCGTACCTATAGCACATTAACTCCAGCAGTTGAGGAAGTAACTTGGCAGTACTTTTACAAAGGCAATTAGGATGGGCTATAAATGCTGGCCTTGCTTGCATCCCCTCAATAATAATCAGTTGACGTGGGGTAGAGCTGGGTGTGTTACCAAAGTGTAAACAGACAGACAGCATTATTGATGGAATGAGTATATGGTTGGAAGATCCATCTTGGGGTCAAATGTTACACAAGATTATAACAATCTGCTTGAGGCTTAGTTTCGAACAAGAATGGAAGCATTGACCAACTAATGGAGTTTATAATGAAGACAAAAGTCAATGGTTTTGGCTTTCCCAGTATTTAATTTGTAGGAAATCTTTGTCTTGGATGACAAAGTGAAGGGGAAAATTGAGCCAGCTCTGTCACCACTGCCTGTTGTCTATATATGTATGGAAACAGATGCAGTGTTTTTGTAGAATGTCCAGGGTTAGCATAAATGAGGAGCAGGAGGAGGCCATGAGTCGGAGTGCCAGAGGCATTGGTATGTGAATATTGTTTTTGTTTTTTTTCTTTAACTACAACTGGATTGATTTTTAAAAATTGATCCACTGTAGCCCATGCAGCTGGATGAGAGTGAAGAGGTATGGAAGAAAAGTCAACTGTCTTCTTTCACACTTCCTCACTTTGAGGAATGAAATAGGAAACATAATTCCGGTCTCAAATGATACTCCAATAGTTTTCATAATTACTTGCTTGTACCTGCATATTACTACCTTTTTCGTAATTCATCCATGAGGACACTGTTTATTTGCATTTCTGAGCCCTGAAATCTCTCTCCCTTTTTAAGTAATGTACTTCCTTACTAAGTCTTCCTGCTTGACTGGACAATTTCATCCTTAGAAATATACTTAATTTGCCACTTTTTCCACTCACCTGATTTTTTTTTTGTAACCTCCTTTTGCAACTTAACTTTTCTACCTGTCTTCTTTAGCAGATTTGGCAACCGTACCTTCTGTCCCTTTATCCAAGTCATTTGTATAAATTATAAGCAGCTGAGCTCCAGCACCAATCTCAGTGGTTCACAAGTTGCTACATCTTTCTAACCAGAGAAAGAACCACGTATAACATTGTGGAGCTGGAGGAACACAGCAGGCCAGGCAGCATCAAAGGAGCAGGAAAGCTGACATTTTGGGTCAGGACCCTTCTTCAGAAATGGGGGAGAGCAAGGGGCCTCTGAAATAAATAGAGAGAGGGGCGGTGATAGCAGGTAGATATTGGAGCAGATAGGTGGGAGAGAAGGCGGGCAGGTCAAGGATTCTGATTCCTGTTATCCGACCAATCTTCCATCCATGCCAAAATGCAACCCCCTACACCAGGAAACTTAATTTGACGTGACAACCATTGAGGTATCTTGTCAAATGCCTTCTAGAAACCTAAGTAAAGGGAAACGTGCACAGTTTGATACGTAAGTGGATAGACAATAAAATCTGATTTTGCTAGGGTCTCAGTTTCCTTCTCAACATGATTTTTAAGGTTTTGCAGTGCACCTTGTTCCACAAGTAAGTAATTTTAACACAGTACTAATACTAATGGATTTAGAGATAGTAGGAACTGCAGATGCTGCAGAATCTGAGATAACAAGGTGTAGAGCTGGATGGACACAGCAGGCCAAGCAGCATCAGAGGAGCAGGAAGGCTGACGTTTAGGGCTTAGACCCTTCTTCAGAAATGGATTTATATCCTTCTGCTATATTCAACTTGGATTCTTAACACCATGTCATCCAATGCAGAAATTGCCTTATTTATGACTAAAAGATCTGGAGATTACAGCATGTGATTAATACCTAGCATTCCTTCTACAGGAAATGGCAGAATAAAAGGCAATGAACACTGTAGGAGGATATCCCAATCTAGCAAACTAAGAACAAGTAATAGCAATTATTGCTTTCAGTTCTGGGTTTGATCATTGTGAGAGGCTGTGTCTCAAGTGCTTCTTTTGTATTTGCTTCCATATTATTTAAGCTTTTGCTTAATGAGAGATCCACAAGAATCTGATTCAAATAGACTGTTTCTTAGGCAAATGGGTTGGCAGCAATGTCATATTCATCTAGGGCAGAGTTTTCCCATTTCCATTTTGTGTTTTGAGTAAGATTCATGGCTGTGGCTTGACATTACATGAAGAAAAAGTAACCTTCCATTCTTCACCCTATGCAACCCCACCATTGGGTGCCTTTCTCTGGGAATCTCCCAGCTGGAGAGGCAGAAATACATGCTATGGCCAAGGTCTTCTGGCTTTTGCACCTCTGGCTCCATATTTAAAGCCAAACTGCACATCAGTCTAGGGAGTACCTCTCTCTGACTGTTCACTTCAGTCTTAACAGTCATCACGTGACCCACAGGAAAGGCAAAATTGTACACCGCTTCAGAGCCCTGGACGTGTTGGTGGTTGGACTGGTGGAGAGGGTAGTCCCTTTCTTTTTCCAGTTGACTGTAACAAAAGTCATGTAACTAGACCAAGCCATCCTGGGTCAGCATTATGTTCTGAGTGAAGTGGAATGCCCAGCAGTATGGCAAGGCAGTTAATGAGCTTCTGCACTCCAATGCAGGTACTACCAATCTCTTATCTACCCCTCACTCGCTCGGGCACCCAGTCTAACTCTGCAACTGCATACTTATCTCACTAGGGTCATGGGCTACAAGTTCCAGTATAACATACCTCATGTCCATTCAATGCCTCTTATTCACCTCAAGTCTCTAAAACTACTAATCCTTCCTTCTCTCCTTTTTTCTCTCTTCCTATTCCATTGGGGCATATTACCATACTTCCGCACTTTTCTCACCATTGAAGGGAAAAAAATTCTTCCCTCCCTTCCCTCTTTTCGAGATTACAAACTGAAGATTTCTCAAACAAGACAACACAGTCCATTTTCCCCTTTGGAACAATAATACCTATTATCTTTCAACTTGCATTCAGGAATGAGAGCTAATCAACAAGTGATGCAAATGATGTAAGTGGGGAACTAATACACAAGGTGGATAGCACAAGGAAGCTAATGGATGCAAATATGCAACTTATTGATAGGTTGCATATATGAAACCATGCAATGCTACAATTGCTTGAGCACTGTCCTGCCAGCAATCTTCACTGTATAGGTGATTTTTTTTTTTTCTTTATAACTGAGCCAGAAAGCTCCAGTTTCAGCAGATGTAACCTCTGCCTTGCATAACAATTCCATTGCATTGTTGAATTTCTAAGCCCATGTGCCGATCTTTTCTCTAATGATTAGTTTCATGTTTAACCAGCAGTCTCCATACCTCATGACTGTTCATTTGTCTTCACATGTTAATTTATGTAGTCACTATTCTGGTGCTCAATCTCTTTAAATTCAAGAAGATCTAAACTCACCAGCCTAAGCAGGAATTGCCAGAAAGATGACAAATTATTTTTCAGCTCCTTCTGCCAGGTGTGTTGACTTGAAGATGGGGTAGGATGGAGAGAAAGAGCAGAGGATGGTGAAATGCCCCAGATGTATATAGGTGATGGTAAGACCTGTCCTCAGGGCAGAGCAAAGCTTATGGCATTTCACACGCAACTGAGGACCATTTCCTGCAGTTTTGAAGCTGGCAGAAGTCAGGGATGATGGATCACTCTGCTTCACGCTGAAAGAGTGAAGGTTTGAGGTACATCCTTCAATTGTCCATATTCCATTACAGGCTCCTTTCTCAAATCAGGCCTTGCCATGAGGACCACCAAATATTGGTTTTCAGTCGCCACCTCCAGGTCCTACACCTCTTCACCCCTGTGGGCTTCAGGACAAATCGGCAAGTGGCTTTGTAGTCCCACCAATTAATATCCAGCAGCTCACTGATATGGGATTTCCCCTCAAATTAGGGATGCAAATTCTACCTCTATCAGTTTATCCTTCAGAGGAATAAATTGCCGTGGGGTAGCCAAAATAGATGGAGATCCTGTCAACTGAGTGGTGGACAGGAAGCCTGGTCACATATTAAGTTCTGCCCAACTCTACTGAGAACATCTTCTCAACTGAAAATATTTGGTGCTTTCCCTCCCACCTGTTCTGCGACATGTGTGAAACAACACTAAGCTGGCAGTGGTTAAAGTGATTATTTGTCCTCTGCACATTGAGTGGAACCCAGTCCTGTTGATGAATTCTGCTGTGTACTATAGCCCTTTCAGTGTCATGTGTGCAGATGATGGCACCCTGCACCTCAGGGATTCCAACCATGTTACCAAATCCAACTACCTGGGCTGCAGCACTGACTTCAACTCAGGAGAATGCAACAAACCTATGTGACCTTGCACAGATGGCACCTATCACTGACCAGATGCGTGTATAGCTGCATGACTGAAAAATGCTACACTGATTCCCCTTCACACTCTAGAAGGAGCCACGTGCATAGAAGTTCACTGTTGCAATGATCACAGCCACTGGGAGCAGGTGGCTTCCCACTCCTTCACCCTCAGGCCTTATTTTGGCATCCAGCACAGTTTCATCACCATGTTCTGGTACAAACTCGGATCTGGCAGCATCTGTGGGGAGAAAGTTTTCTTCCTACACATGCTGCTAGATCCTTCTCCCCACAGATGCTGCCAGATCTGAGGTTTGCCAGTAAATTTTGTTTTTGTTTCATTCATCATTGCTTGTTTTGTTTGAGATTTTAAAGTTTCCTTCATTTTGATTTAATTCTGGAGTTTTGTTAACTATCATCTTACCAATTTTAGTTTTTCAAAGCAGTATATTCTGTATAAGTTCGGATCTGGCTCACCCAGTATTCTCCAAGTACATCAAGCTTTCTTTTATTAGCATTGAACAAAGTGGAAAGGAAGATGTAAACTTGGTTTTGTTTTGAAGAATTGGAAACCATTTTATATTTCTCTTTTTGGTTTGTTAGGTGTTCCTGGAGCAACAGGAGTTCAAGGAACACTAGGACGTCTCTTTCTTCCAAGTTCATATTTTCGCAGTACTGGTAAGTGCTTTAGGAATTGTATGTAAATTGAAAATGTTAATTTTGGAGAGTTGTTTTCTTTTGAGCTTTTCAAAATGGCTGAGAAGCTTCCAAATGTAGCCTGTTATGACCAAGTGAGAGGATGAACTTGTTTCCCTCTTTTTTTTTCTATCACTTCTGGCCACAATAAAATGTTCTTAGCACGCAACCACTGCATCACATCAACTCCTACGTAGTTTAACTTATTTGGCAATAAGGAAACCATTTACCAAGTTTTCTTGAGTGAAAGGAAGAGCAATTTTATTACTTGCTAACTGTCACAATGGGTTAACAAACAACTTTAGCACATTTATGAGTGACAGTTTCAAAAATCGCATTAAACTGCCCAACAAAGATGGTTTCTATAATCATGTGACTGGACTTGGCAGTACCCTTCCAGAATCCTCAAAAGTAGGTCACCTAGACAATCAATAATTCATGTACCTTCTGATAGGACTGCAATGCAAATGTTGGGTTATATACTGCCACAGAGATCGATTTAGACTGTAACAAAAGGGAGCTTGGTGACATGATTCTCTCTCAATGCCAAATCCAATTGACTTTCAATCATATAATTTTTGAACAAGCAGTCATTTAAGGGGTTAGTGCTACTTAATACAATATTTACTGACTATATCAAAACCCCTGACTCCAGACTACAAGAGAGAAAACGCTGGCTTTTTATATATTTTAAAGCAAAAGCAAACCAGTGTTTTTGCATGCTATATAAACTTTCCAACCTCTTTCATCAAAACAACAAAGCAAAAATTTATATTTTAGTAGTATTCCTCAGAAGTAAAATTCCATGAAGATCTTCAAAGAAATTTTAGAAGGAAAATCTGTCTGACTTCTGAACTACTGGCAGTTCAATCATCACTCTTTAACTTGAAGAAAGCCAGCTCACTTTTAGCAAGTTACGTTACAATTTGTAAACCAGTTGCTCTGTGCCTTTCTGTAAAACATCTGGAGAAGACCAGGATGAGCAGCAAGCTCTGACGTACAAATGGATCATTCTACTGCCTTTCTAGTTTCTTTCCACCATAACATCAAAGTTCTTTTTGTGTAGCAGGAGTTTTTTAAGATGATTAGAGTTTTAATTAGAAGTCAACAATTATGTCATCAGTTCATTAGGTTCTACCTAAAGGTAAACAATTATTTATTTGTAATAAATAGTAACTCTTTGAGTTGTCTGTTTTTAACCTAGTATAATGAGATGGGTAAATTTGGGGAATTTTGCATACTTGAATAAAATCTTTAACTATTGTGATGACTCCAAGAATAAATGGGCTTGATTTTCTAGTATGCTATCCCAGTAAGGTGTGACAAAAGACTTGGACAAGATCCAAGCTTGTGCTGACAAGTGTGAAGTAACATTAATGCCACATATGTACTAGGCAATAACCATCTCTAACAATTAACCCTTGGCATTCAATTGCATTGCCTTCACTGAATTCCCCACTATCAACATCCTGGTTTTACCACTAACCAGAAACTGAACTACCCATATAAAAATTACTGTGTGTCAATAAGAGCAGGTCAGAGGCCAGTAATCCTGCAGCAAGTAACTTCCCTCAATGCATGAAAGCCTGCCTACAATCTACAAGGCACAAGCCAGGAGTGTGATGGTATATTCTCAACTTGCCTGGACGAGTGTCGCTCCAACAACACAAGAAACTTGACACCATCCAGCATAAAGCTTGATTGGCACCACATCTACAAGCATTCATTCCCTCCATCACTGATGCACAGTAGCAGCATTATGTACCATCAACCCAGAAGCACTCCAGAAATTCACCAAGACTCCTTTGACAGCACCTTCCAAACACATGACCACAACTATCTCGATGGACATGTGCAGCGGACGTACAGGAACACCACCACTGACGAGTTCTCCTCCAAACCACTCACCTTCCTGACTTCAAAATATATCAATGCAATTCTCAATTTAGTGTTTGACAAAGCAGTTAGACTTGTGTTTTTATGAAGTGAGACTCTTGGTACAATTGCATGATTGCTAAAATTGTCTGTTACCCTAAATTTTGTTTCGTGGAACAGTGCTTCATCCTTTTTTGAGTAAATTAATTAATCAGAACTCCTACATGTAAAATTTTATAGAATCATAGAATGCTCAGAAAGAGGCCAAATGAGCTTTTTGGTCCATGCTGGCTGCTCTGCAAGAAAAAACTTAGCAGGTCTCATGCAGCTTTCCCTGCAACCCTGCAAGTTTTCTTAGGCGTTCATCCAATACCCTGTGACAGCCATGCATAAATCTGACTCTGACAAGCTCTTGGGCACCTGTGGTTTTTTTTTTGAAAGAAATTATTCCTTGCTACCTTTTTTTGGATATCTGCCAATCATCATCATCTTCAGACAAGAATTACAGGACATAGATTTTTTTCAGCCAATAGGAACAATTTCTTCTCATCCCCTTCCCCACCACCACCACTTCATTATTATGCTTTTATTTTGTATGGGTGCAGGTTCATGAGGCAATGGTGTAGTGGTAATTCATTAGAATAGTAATCGGAACAACCAGCTTAATGGTCTGAAGACATTGGTTCAAATTCAACCATTGCAGATGGTGAAATTAGAATTCAATAAAATTTAGTCTAACATTGGTCATGTAACCAATGTTACTTGTTGTAAAAACCCATCTGGTTCACTGATGTCCTTTTTGTTGGAGAAGGAAATCTACCATCTCACCTGGTCAGGCCTACATGTGATTCCAGATGCACAGCTATGTGGCTGCTTGAAATAGCAGCAGGCAATTAAGAATCAGTTCGATGGTAATTATGCAATGGCAAGAAATGATTTCCTTTCCAGTATAATCCACGACCTATATAAAAATAGTTGATGAAATTTGCACTTGACCTTTTCTTAAAGGAGAACAAACTCAGATTTTTGAATCTATGAAACTGAAGTGTAATATCCATGGAATCATTTCTTGTGAATCTTTTCTGCACCCACTGTGAAGACTTTACATCCTTCCTTGTATTGTACATAAAATGCTGATTTGCTCTCAACTGGAATATTAAGTCATCATTCCTTCATTGCTTTTCTACTCCTGGTTTTATCTAGAAAGCCTAGGATCCTTTTAACAACAAAAACAAAGTTGCTGGAAAAGCTTTGTTTTGTTCCTGATTTACAGCATCTGCAGTTCTTTTGGATCCTTTTTAACTAATTTCAATTATTTTTGAGCATAAAATACCGGGTTTCTTGTATTTATACTGCCTTTTACAATTTTAACTTGTGTATTCTCCCTACTAAATGGATTGTTGAACGCCTGCATTAAACTTCTTCATCTGCCATGCATCTACCCATTCTACCAGTCTCTTAATCTTTCACTATTGCCCTCCCACCACTCTTCCCCCCCCCCCCCCCCCACCCCAACAGCTCTGATGGTTGGAGTCATACCTGACACATAGGAAGACGGTCGTGGTTGTGGGAGGACAATCATCTCAGCTCCAGGATATCTCTGCAGTAGATAACAAGGTGTAGAGCTGCATGAACTCAGCAGGCCGAGGAGCAGGCAAGTTGACGTTTCGGGCCTAGACCCTTCCTCGGAAAGATTTCTGAGGAAGGGTCTAGGCCCAAAACGTCAGCTTTCCTGCTCCTCTGATGCTGCTTGGCCTGCTGTGTTCATCCAGCTCTACACCTTGTTATCTCAGATTCTCCAGCATCTGCAGTTCCTACCATCTCTGCAGGAGTTCCTCAGGGTAGTGTCCTATGCCCAACCATCTTCAGCTGCTTCGTCAGTGACCTTCACTCCATCATAAGGTCAGAAGTGGTGATGTTCAACCATCGGCAAACAATGTTCAGCATCTTTCGTGACTCCTCAGATACTGAAGTAGTCCATGTTCACATGCAACAAGATCTGGACAATATCCACACTTGGGCTGACAAGAGGCAAGTGACATTCGTGCCACACAAATACCGGGCTATGACCATCACCAACAAGAGACAATCTAACCACCACCTCTTGACATTCAATGGTGTTACCATCACTGAATCCCCCACTATCAACATCCTGGGGGTTACCATTGACCAGAAACTCAACTAGACTCACCACATTAACAGAGTGGCTACAAGAGCAGGTCAGAAGCTGGGAATACTGCGGTGAGTAACTCATCTCCTGACTCCTCAAAGCCTGTCCACCATCTGCAAGGCATGAGTCAGGAGTGCAATGGAATACTCCCCACTTGCCTGGATGAGTGCAGCCCCAACAACACTCAAGAAGCTTGACACCATACAGGACAAAGCAGCCCGCTTGATTGGCACTACATCCACAAGCATTCACTCCCTCCACCACCCACGCTCAGTAGCAGCAGTGTGTACTATCTACAAGATGCACTGCAGAAATTCACCAAAGATCCTCAGACAGCACCTTTCAAACCCACAACCCATGTCATCTAGAAGGACAAGGGCAGCAGATATATGGGAACACCACCACCTCCAAGTTCCCCTCCAAGTCACTCACCATCCTGACTTGGAAATATATCGCCGTTTCTTTACTGTTGCTGGGTCAAAATCCTAGAATTCCTTCCCTAATAGCATTGTGGGTCAACTCACAGCAGGAGGAATGCAGTGGTTCAATAAGGCAGCTCACCACCACCTTCTCAAGGGCAACTAGGGATGGGCAAGAAATGCTGGCCAGCCAGCAACGCCCATATCTCACAAAATGAATAGGAAAGAAAAAGACCAATAGAGTGTATGGGATTGAGCACCAAGATGAAGCATTAAAAGTAATAAAATGAGGTGCATGGAAGACCAGCAAATAGCACACAAGTACAGTTTAGAAATATGACAGATGAAAGATTGCTTTATATCTAACCGCAAAGACTAGTTTAGATCATACTTTTGTATGCATACATAAATGTGTTATAAATAAGGCTGAGTTGCAAGCACACTCTCTCTTGAGAGAGAGTGATAGTATGGCAACAAGAGACATCTAGTTCAAAGTAGGAAGGACTAGAACTTGAATA